CAGGCAGCGGTGAGCCATGATGTATCGGAAGACCAGTAGACGAAGGGAGACTGAGAACCTGGCGAAGCGCAGAGTCAGGCGGTGGCTGATATGACGGAGATGGCGGAGCGAAGAAGAGGCGCGGCTGTGCAGTGCCACCAGCACCAGCAGCTCCAGCACCTCCAACAGCTCCAATACCCTCAGCAGCTCCAGCACCTCCAGGAGCTCCAGAACCCTCAGCGCCAGCTTCTCCAGGACCAGCTCCACCAGCTGCAGCACCCCCAGAACGGGCACCTCCATTCCCAGGGTCTCCAGCCTCAGTGCCTCCAGCAGCAGTACCCCCAGACCCAGGGTCTCCAGCAGTAGCACCCTCAGACACAGAACCTCCGGACCCAGCAGCTCCAGTACCTCCAATACGAGCACCTCCGGGACCAGCGACTCCCGCACCTCCAGTAGACAAAGGACCAGCACCACTCCCATCTCCAATGACGTCAGCAAAAGTACCTCCAGCAGCAGAGCCCCGAGCTCCAGAAGCGTGACCCTAACGACGACCGTACCAGTCCTGCAGCTGCTGTGAGGTGAGAGGCACACGCTGAAGAAGGCGGCTACTCCAAGGAGACCGCGTAACAGCAGTCTCAGAACCCTCAGGCGTCGCACCCCCAGACTCAGCACCCCCAGGCTCCTCACACGCAGGCTCAGCACCCCCAGACGCAACACCCCTAGGCTCAGGACCTCCAGGCTCCTCACGCGCAGGCTCAGCACCTCTAGGCTCCGCACCCTTAGGCTCCTCATGCTCAGGCTCAGTGCCCCCAGACTCCGCACCCCCTGTCTCAGCACCTCCTGGGTCCTCACGCTCAGGCTCCGGACCCCCAGGCTCAGCACCCCCATGCTCCGCACTGCCAAGCTCCGCACCCCCAGGGACAGCACCACCCTCAGCAGGACCTGAGTCACCAGTGACCTCAACAGGCGCAGGTACGGGAGGGTCTACCTGAGAGACACCAAAAGGAGCAGGACCTGGCGCGGGGAGGGGGTCTACCTCAATACCTAGGGTGAGAAAGAGCGGCGGGGGGGGGGGGGGGGGGGGGGGGGGGGGGGGGGCGAGGCGCAGTGCGGTAGGGAAAGAGACGGTAAAAGGGAACTGACTCGTCAAAGATGACGTCTTAAGACGGAAAGACACGGCGCGAGGCGGGGTCGTAAAACTGCCAGCCAGGCGCGTCAGGGACAAAGCCAAGGAAGACGCAGAGAATGGCGCGAGGGGAGAGTTTGTCTGCGGTGGTATCGCGGACAAAGGCACGAGCACCCCAGACCCGGAAACGCGACGCATGGCCAACATTCCCCGTCTACAGCAGTGTGGGCAAGGTCTCTGGCAAGGAGACACGGGGCCACAGGTTGAGCTGATGCGCGGCGTACCAGACAGCAAACGGCCACAGAAAATGGGGGGCAGCCGCATGGATCATGCAGGTACGAGCGACCTCCATGACTAAGCCAATGCGGCGCTCAGCAACCCCATTCTGCTGCGGAGGGGCCGGAAGCGTGAATGTCTGGCGGATGCCGTGCTCCGCACAGAAGGCTGCCAAGAGGTCTGAGGAGAACTCACCACCTTTGTCAAAGTGCAGACGCAGGACAGGAAATTTCGACTTGAACCGCTCGCGGAGCTGGAGACGAACAGCGTGGATCCAGGGGATCAAAACATCACGGACCTCCCCCTTGCGCTGCAAGAAGAAGACCGTGGTGAAACACGTGTAGTCGTCGACGACCAGCAGGAAGTACCGCTCGTGGCCCTGTCCACGGACGCGGGCTGGGCCCCACACGTCCAGGTAGAGAGTCTGCAGTGGAGCCTCTGTGGGAGGGAACGAGGAGAAGTGAGGAGCGGTGCGCTGCTGCCCCTCGACGCAAGGAATGCAGGGCGGCGCAGGCGAGGGAGGGAGGGCAGGTAGAGACCTGGGAAGGCGAGAGACCAGGAAGCGAGAGTGCATGCTGCGACGGCGAGTCAGGGAGGGGTGACCAAGGCGGTAGTGCCAAAGGAGAGTGTCGTGCGATAGCCGGCGACACTCATAGTGGGTAGCTACCTGAGTAGACGCGTACAGCTGGGGAGATAAAGGGGTGTAGCGCGACGTAGTGGTGAGGGTGTACAGACTGGACCTAGGCGCACGTGTGAACGTGGCCAGGTGATGGCCGGTCCGGGAGCACGTGCAGATCGTCACACGCTGTCCTCCAGGAGTAAAGGTGTCAACCCAGTGATCCTGAAGGACGGCGTTGCTCACCAAGTTCGTAGAGAACGAGGGGAGGTGGAGACCAGACAGCTCACCAGACGGGACCGCCGGACACGGAAGCACAGTGGAAGACCGTGCAAGCACTGGGCCCCCTGAGGGGTCAGCCAGTGAGACAGGAACAGGTGCAGGGAGGGGAATGACTGTGGTGCTGTCGCGAAAGAAACAGCGGGAAGCACCAGAGTCAAGTGTGAAGGTGTGCAAGGCCTGTGCGGACGCAGTACCAGGGGGAGCAGACTCACAATCACCTAGTGCCATAGGCGCTATACCTGGGGCTATACCGGGGTCAGGCGGCACACACAAGTAGCAGTCACCCTCAGCACTAACAGTCAATGCATACATGGCAGCAAGAATAGCCTCATAGTCAAGATCAAAGATAGGTACATCACGCCTAAGCAGGTCTGCCCAGTTGGGGAAATTAGTAGCATCAGGAAACTTGACGCTCCAGGCGTCGCTAAGCCGAGCGAAGCAGCGGTACTCAGTGTGAAACCCTGTGCACTGGCGACCAGCGCGTGGACCTGCGCGAATGATATAGGGGCAGCGACCAGGACCCCCAGACGCCCCACGCCCGGCATACCAGTCAAGAAGCTGCTGGGAAGTGGGGGTCTGGCGCTGACGCTGCTACGGCTGCTGCTGCTGTTGCTGCTGCTGCCCCTCGCCACCACTGGTGTCACCCAAGCCCCCACCACCGCTGCCACCACCACTCCCCCCTCTGCCACCACCGCCGCCGCCACCGCCACCGCTCCCCGCACCACCACCGCCCCCACCACCACCTCCACCCCCACGACCACCCCCACCACCTCCACCTCCCCGGCCGCCTCCACCACCGCCCCCTCCACTGCCACGTCCGCCACCCCTGCCACCCTTGCCTCCCCTGGAGCCGCTGCGCTTCCCACTAGGAGCGAAAGCAGCTGCGACCTTCTCAGCACCAAGGAGGTCGACATCAGCAGCTGCGGAGGCGTGGGAGGGGGAGCACCCCTCAAAGAGGGGAGAGCGAGGAGTACCACGAGCAGCACCTACAGCGAGGATGTTCTTCTCTGCTGCTAGGAGGTGCTTCTCGAAGTCGGCGACAGTGAGAGTGGTAGGGTCTAGGGCTAGGAAGTGGTCCCTGACGGAGCTAAGAGTGTCAGGGAGGCGGGTGACGAGGAAATAGAGAGTGAAGTACATCGAGGGGGGGGGGTTGCGGCGCAGAACTCGGCTGGAAGGGTGGCACGAAAGCGAGTGTCACTAGTGCGAAGGTGAGAAATGAGGTCCTCAGCAGTGGTAAACGAGGACAGGTCGGGGAACAGGTAGGGTAGCATGAGCCGACCTAGGGCTGCAGTGGCCGGGGAGGAGTAGCGCGCAACTACAGCGTCGTACAGTGCCTTAGCAATTTTGTGCTGGCTGAAATGCGCGCGCTCAGTGATCGGCAGATGGTTCCTAATAGCTAGGCGTGCAGCAGCATCGCGAATCTGCCACTGTGAGCGTTCAAGAGCAGAAGCATCGTCAGCAGGAGCAACGGCAGTGCCAGACACGTAATCGAACAGTCAAACGCCGTCTTTGGCATCAAACGGAAGGAACAGTTGGAGATTGTCGAGCCACACAGCGAACTCGATCGGGCGACCGTCAGGCTCAAACGCGAGAACATTAAGCGTCGCCATAATCGCAGTGCAGGTAAAGCCAGTTGGCAAAGGCAGTAGGCAGTAGGCAGCAGGCAGCAGGTAAAGGCAAAGGCAGCTCAGGCAGCGCGCAGGGCAGTAGCAGGCCGCGCGTAGGCTGCAGCAGCGGGCAGCGCGCGGGCTCCTAAGGCAGCTAGCGGAGCTGCAAAGGGGTGCGCAGGCGGTAGACGCGACGTGCGGGGCAGCAGCGAACTGCGCGGGCGGCGGACTCGGCGCGCGGGGCAGCAGCTGGCCGCACTGGCGACGGACGCGGCGCGCGGGGCCTAAGCAGGCTGCGCGCGGCGGCGGGCTGCGCGGGCTCGTCGCGGACTGCGCGAGCGGTGCGCGGGCGACGCGGGCTCGGCGCATGCTGCGCGCGCGGCGCGCGGCGCTGCAGCGGGCTGCGGAGGCGGCTGCAGCAGTAGCGCGCGCTAAAAAAAGATACGCGCGTGTGCAGCCGAGGCGCGTGCGGGCAACAGGCAAGGCAGGCAGGCAGGCAAGGCCGTAGGTGAGGTAACGCGGTAACAGGTGGGCCCTAATCTTAGGTCCTAAAGACCTACTGCTCTGATACCATCTTAGAAACTAGTCAGGAATGGTTGACTATTGGGAAGATTGGGTACAAGGACAAAACCCTAGCAATGTGTTGTACCCCATATGTGCTACCCCACTACAGCCTACACCCTAACATTATATATATAGTTTGACAGGGAGTAGGTATGAGCGAATAGCGGATGGACAGAGCACGCGAATAGGTTTCCCGCAGCTGAGGTTTGAAGGGCTTAGGGCAAACGTTGAAGAGGATACGACGAGGAAGGGGATGCGACGAACTAAGGAGGGGCCGCAACGGCCAAAGGAAGGGCTGATGGCTTTAGGAAGGGTCAATGGCCTTAGGAAGGGGACTTGGCAGCCTTGGGAGGTCGGAATGAAATCGAAAGTATTAACTTTTTGTACAATTGGTGGGTCGTGTAATGTTTTGTCGTCTAGTGGGGATTGAACCAAATACTTGTCAAAATAAAGCATCTGGGTTTAGGTAAGCTATATGGGGGTCGTCATATGTGGAGGGAAAAAAAGGGGATTGCGGGGGGGGAGGGAAGGAGGGAGGAGATCCAGGGGATTACATCAGCTGCAGGCTCACGATAGGAACGGATGGACCCTGAATTTGCTATGCTCATGCTGGCCACAAAGATACCGTATTGGGATGCTTGAATCCATGATTAACGGTTCTGCGTATCTCTAGTTCATTACAAGATTGTATACACCAATATCAGCACCATCAGTCCTGCTTCACACTCCCAACGCTAGGAGAGCTGCGCGTGCTGCTGCTCTTCTGCCCGCCACTCTGATCTGGGGACACCATTGGCGATAATCTTGTAGCGCTACCTTGCTCTCTGGCACCAAAGTACCCTCCACCTCGCACAGCAGTGTCAACTGATGCAGCCATTGCAGATGGTATTACCACTACCAACGAATCAGCAACACCTGTCACGCTGCGCGCTCCCGCATCCCCCCTTCCCTTGCCCGATTCGCGAATGGGGGCAGCCGAAAAACTTGAAGCAAGCTCAACTCCGCCACCATCCCCCCTACCCCTACCGGCAGCACTACTACTACTACTACTGGTACAACTGCTGGAATCTGCAGCAGGAGCATCGGAAGGTCGCACAGTCACGGCAGGAGGTTCAAGAACCAGTGCATTTGATGCAAGTGCGGCCGTGCCGGAAGGAATGGGAGAACGGGCTAGCGGCGAGGCGGTAGTGGGAGGAGAGGGTGCAGTGGGGGAGGAAGGTGCAACAGCAGAGGCCACAGCAGGAGGAGCGGCAGGAGACAGAGGAAGGGCACGAGGAGGAGGAATCGGGCTGGCGTGGGATGACGAAGCAGCAGCAGGAGGAGGAAGAGGAGGAGGAGCAGCAGGAGTGTTTGCAGGAGAACCAGCAGCTGGAGCAGGAGCAGCGGCAGCAGGAGCAGAAGGGTGAGGGGTGGGGGAGCGGGGGCTGGGAGTGGGGGTGGCGGAGGCAGCGGCGCGCAGCAGAGTGGCCACCACAACTGTGTGGTTGTTGTCCCTCGCCTCGTCCATGGGTGTGCGCTGCCACCGGTCGCGCACACTAGGGCTCGCCCCTCCCTGCAGCAGAACCTGGTTGACAGGGGTTGGGTTCAGGGCATGGGGTTCGGGGTTCAGGATTTGAAACCAAGGATTTGGGCCTTGGAATGTGGGTTTATGGGAAGCTTAACGAGTGGGTGTGGTTGTTGTTCCTCGCCTCGTCCATGGCTGTGCGCTACCACCGGTCGTGCACACTCGGGTTCAGTGTTTGAAGAAGGAAGTTAGACCTGGCATGATTTCCGTTGCTTGCGGTGTCCCTGTGTCCCCCCCACATCTGGGGCTCTCAGACCTTGCCACAGAACCTGAATCATGTTGATTCGCAAGTCACGTGCACTCACCTTGCCTGACCTGGACTCGCATTGAATCTTCTTGACCCACCTGGACCACGTTGAGATGGGCCTGGGTAGAAGACACATGCAGCACCTGTGATGTGCCCATCATAGTCAGCCACCTTGACTCCCATACCACAATCACCTTGACTCCCATTGACCCCCATTGACTCCCATTGACCCCCATTGACTCCCATTGACCCCCATTGACTCCCATTGACCCACCTTGACAACGTTGAGGTGCCCCTCAGCAGCCGCCACGTGCAGCGCGGTGCGGCCGTCGTAGTCAGCGGAGTTGGGGTCGGCGCCGAACTCCAGCAGCCGCGCCAGCTGGTGCGAGTTGGACGAGCTCGCCAGGCGGCACAGATGCGTGCCCTGGTTGCGCAGATGCAGCTCGCCCCCGTTGCTGCAGGGTAGGGGAAGAGGAGTGGGGACGGGGAGAAGGGGACAAAGGGAGAGGAAGAGAGAGGGAGAGGAAGAGAGATGGAGAGGGGGAGGAGGGACGGGTCGTCACAGGTGCAACTCGCCACCGTTGCTGCAGAACCGATCACCACTGCAGCAGCACAGGTGGTGCATGGCCTGGTGCACCACCTGTGCTGGACACGCAGCACAACTTATGGGATGCCTCGAATTGAGCGGCTAGGCTGGGAAGTGCACAAGGGCGCTTGTCTGTTTACATGGTGAAGCTTGGTGAGGGCGACTGGACGGGGGAAGAGAAGGGGAGTGGATGGGAAAAGAGCAGGTGGAGGAGAGGCGAGGGGACGTGCGAGTGGAGTGAAAGGAGTGTGAAGCAGCACAGGCAGCATGGGCCCGGGTGCTGGCATCCCTTCCAGTGCTGGCATCCCTTCCAGTGCTGGCATCCCTTCCAGTGCTGGCATCCCTTCCAGTGCTGGCATCCCTTCCAGTGTTGGCATCCCTTCCAGTGCAAGGGACCAATAAGTCGTCACGGGCGAGTGCCTTGAGGTCCTTGCGTGTGCGCATGAATGCATGGATGGGCTCACCTGCAGGACTGGAAGGGGGGAAGGGAGGGGGAGTGAAAGGCGCGCCGGGTGGTTGGGGTGGTGGTGGAGCAGGCGAGATGGCACGTGTGCTTCCGGTGATTGCGCGGCTGGGTCATTCCCTGGTGGCTGGGGGGAGATGTGGGAGGGATGGGGGGGGCGAAGTGGGGAGGAAGGCGGCGTTGGAGAGAGAGGGGGAGTGGTGAAAGATAGGAAGTAGAGAAGTAGGGGAGTGCAAGAGAAGGGAACAGGGAAGTGGAGTGCCAACACGTGAGGGGCAAGGAGGGCACACGTGACATGAGGAACAAGGAGGGCACACGTGACATGAGGAACAAGGAGGGCACACGTGACATGAGGAACAAGGAGGGCACACGTGACATGAGGAACAAGGAGGGCACACGTGACATGAGGAACAAGGAGGGCACACGTGACATGAGGAACAAGGAGGGCACACGTGACATGAGGAACAAGGAGGGCACACGTGACATGAGGAACAAGGAGGGCACACGTGACATGAGGAACAAGGAGGGCACACGTGACATGAGGAACAAGAAGGGCACACGTGACATGAGGAACAAGGAGGGCACACGTGACATGAGGAACAAGGAGGGCACACGTGACATGAGGAACAAGGAGGGCACACGTGACATGAGGAACAAGGAGGGCACACGTGACATGAGGAACAAGGAGGGCACACGTGACATGAGGAACAAGGAGGGCACACGTGACATGAGGAACAAGGAGGGCACACGTGACATGAGGAACAAGGAGGGCACACGTGACATGAGGAACAAGGAGGGCACACGTGACATGAGGAACAAGGAGGGCACACGTGACATGAGGAACAAGGAGGGCACACGTGACATGAGGAACAAGGAGGGCACACGTGACATGAGGAACAAGGAGGGCACACGTGACATGAGGAACAAGGAGGGCACACGTGACATGAGGAACAAGGAGGGCACACGTGACATGAGGAACAAGGAGGGCACACGTGACATGAGGAACAAGGAGGGCACACGTGACATGAGGAACAAGGAGGGCACACGTGACATGAGGAACAAGGAGGGCACACGTGACATGAGGAACAAGGAGGGCACACGTGACATGAGGAACAAGGAGGGCACACGTGACATGAGGAACAAGGAGGGCACACGTGACATGAGGAACAAGGAGGGCACACGTGACATGAGGAACAAGGAGGGCACACGTGACATGAGGAACAAGGAGGGCACACGTGACATGAGGAACAAGGAGGGCACACGTGACATGAGGAACAAGGAGGGCACACGTGACATGAGGAACAAGGAGGGCACACGTGACATGAGGAACAAGGAGGGCACACGTGACATGAGGAACAAGGAGGGCACACGTGACATGAGGAACAAGGAGGGCACACGTGACATGAGGAACAAGGAGGGCACACGTGACATGAGGAACAAGGAGGGCACACGTGACATGAGGAACAAGGAGGGCACACGTGACATGAGGAACAAGGAGGGCACACGTGACATGAGGAACAAGGAGGGCACACGTGACATGAGGAACAAGGAGGGCACACGTGACATGAGGAACAAGGAGGGCACACGTGACATGAGGAACAAGGAGGGCACACGTGACATGAGGAACAAGGAGGGCACACGTGACATGAGGAACAAGGAGGGCACACGTGACATGAGGAACAAGGAGGGCACACGTGACATGAGGAACAAGGAGGGCACACGTGACATGAGGAACAAGGAGGGCACACGTGACATGAGGAACAAGGAGGGCACACGTGACATGAGGAACAAGGAGGGCACACGTGACATGAGGAACAAGGAGGGCACACGTGACATGAGGAACAAGGAGGGCACACGTGACATGAGGAACAAGGAGGGCACACGTGACATGAGGAACAAGGAGGGCACACGTGACATGAGGAACAAGGAGGGCACACGTGACATGAGGAACAAGGAGGGCACACGTGACATGAGGAACAAGGAGGGCACACGTGACATGAGGAACAAGGAGGGCACACGTGACATGAGGAACAAGGAGGGCACACGTGACATGAGGAACAAGGAGGGCACACGTGACATGAGGAACAAGGAGGGCACACGTGACATGAGGAACAAGGAGGGCACACGTGACATGAGGAACAAGGAGGGCACACGTGACATGAGGAACAAGGAGGGCACACGTGACATGAGGAACAAGGAGGGCACACGTGACATGAGGAACAAGGAGGGCACACGTGACATGAGGAACAAGGAGGGCACACGTGACATGAGGAACAAGGAGGGCACACGTGACATGAGGAACAAGGAGGGCACACGTGACATGAGGAACAAGGAGGGCACACGTGACATGAGGAACAAGGAGGGCACACGTGACATGAGGAACAAGGAGGGCACACGTGACATGAGGAACAAGGAGGGCACACGTGACATGAGGAACAAGGAGGGCACACGTGACATGAGGAACAAGGAGGGCACACGTGACATGAGGAACAAGGAGGGCACACGTGACATGAGGAACAAGGAGGGCACACGTGACATGAGGAACAAGGAGGGCACACGTGACATGAGGAACAAGGAGGGCACACGTGACATGAGGAACAAGGAGGGCACACGTGACATGAGGAACAAGGAGGGCACACGTGACATGAGGAACAAGGAGGGCACACGTGACATGAGGAACAAGGAGGGCACACGTGACATGAGGGGCAAGGAGGGCACACGTGACATGAGGAACAAGGAGGGCACACGTGACATGGGGAACAAGGAGGGCACACGTGACATGAGGGGCAAGGAGGGCACACGTGACATGAGGAACAAGGAGGGCACACGTGACATGGGGAACAAGGAGGGCACACGTGACATGAGGAACAAGGAGGGCACACGTGACATGAGGAACAAGGAGGGCACACGTGACATGAGGAACAAGGAGGGCACACGTGACATGAGGAACAAGGAGGGCACACGTGACATGAGGAACAAGGAGGGCACACGTGACAAGGAGGGCACACGTGACAAGGAGGGCACACGTGACAAGGAGGGCACACGTGACAAGGAGGGCACACGTGACAAGGAGGGCACACGTGACAAGGAGGGCACACGTGACAAGGAGGGCACACGTGACAAGGAGGGCACACGTGACAAGGAGGGCACACGTGACAAGGAGGGCACACGTGACAAGGAGGGCACACGTGACAAGGAGGGCACACGTGACAAGGAGGGCACACGTGACAAGGAGGGCACACGTGACAAGGAGGGCACACGTGACATGGGGAACAAGGAGGGCACACTACACATGGGGAACAAGGAGGGCACACTACACATGGTACGGCAGAGCAGAGCAGGGTGGGCTGAGCTTTTGCCTTCCGATCCGAGGAGCATTGGCAGAGCATTGGCAGAGCATTGGCAGAGAAGTGGCAGAGAGAGGTGGGCGGTGGGCGGCGCACTGACCTGCGGAGGATCTCAGCGGTGCTCCAGTGGCCGGCAGCAACGGCCTCCTGCAGGGGGGTGCGCCAGAAGGCGTCCTTGGCGTTCACTTGTGCTCCATGGGCCAGCAGGAATTGCACCACCTTGTCCTGCCCTGTCACTGCCGCTAGGTGCTGGTGGAGGGGAGGGGGGAATAGAGGAGAGGGAAAGTGGGGGGAAGAGAGGGGACATGGTGTGGGGGAAGGAGGTCAGACGGCACCACCTTGTCCTGCCCTGTCACTGCTGCTAGGTGCTGGATAACATGGAAGGGGATGAGGGGACAGTGGGGAAGGGGGAGGAGGACATGGTGTGGCGTGGTGTGGTGGGGAAAGGAGGTCAGAAGGCGTTCTCGGCTAAATCAACCTAATTAGCCAGCGAAACAACTCCCTGCACTCATCTCACACTCATTCATCTCACCATGGAAGTGCGGCCATCTCACCATGGGCGTGCGGCCATCTCACCATGGGCGTGCGGCCATCTCACCATGGGCGTGCGGCCATCGTAGTCAGCAGCCGCCACATCAAAGCCGCCAGCGGCGAGGCGGAAGCACTCCAGCATGTCGCCACGCTTGGCAGCATAGCACAGGTTCATCAGCGTCTCCTGCACCAGCCGGTTGCGGAACGACTGAGGGGGGGGGGGGGAGGAGAGGGGTGGAAGGAAAGGGTTGGGGTTCGACCCTAGAATGTAGCCATTTGGGCGGCGTAGCACAGGTCCATCAGCGTCTCCTGCACCAGACGGTGGCGGAAGGACTGGACTGGCGGGCGGGGAGAGGTGGGTCAGACTGGTGGAGGGGGGAGGGGATTTGGCTTAAGACTCTAGAATGCCACGAGGCGGAGAGAGGGGTTGCCGCGTAGCACAGGTTCACAAGCGACTCCTGTACCAGTCGGTTCACAAGCGACTCCTGTACCAGTCGGTTCACAAGCGACTCCTGTACCAGTCGGTTCACGAGCGACTCCTGTACCAGTCGGTTCACAAGCGACTCCTGTACCAGTCGGTTCACGAGCGACTCCTGTACCAGTCGGTTCACGAGCGACTCCTGTACCAGTCGGTTCACGAGCGACTCCTGTACCAGACGGTTCACGAGCGACTCCTGTACCAGTCGGTTCACGAGCGACTCCTGTACCAGTCGGTTCACGAGCGACTCCTGTACCAGTCGGTTCACGAGCGACTCCTGTACCAGTCGGTTCACGAGCGACTCCTGTACCAGTCGGTTCACGAGCGACTCCTGTACCAGTCGGTTCACGAGCGACTCCTGTACCAGTCGGTCCACAAGCGACTCCTGTACCAGTCGGTTCACAAGCGACTCCTGTACCAGTCGGTTCACGAGCAACTCCTGTACCAGTCGGTTCACAAGCGACTCCTGTACCAGTCGGTTCACGAGCGACTCCTGTACCAGTCGGTTCACGAGCGACTCCTGTACCAGTCGGTTCACGAGCGACTCCTGTACCAGTCGGTTCACGAGCGACTCCTGTACCAGTCGGTTCACGAGCGACTCCTGTACCAGTCGGTTCACGAGCGACTCCTGTACCAGTCGGTTCACGAGCGACTCCTGTACCAGTCGGTTCCGGAAGGCCTGGTGGGTGTGAGAGAGCAGCAGGGAGGAGTGGAGAAGAACAGTACAATGGGTACGGGTTGTGCAGGCAGAATGTGGAAAGATGGGGGTGAGGGAATCGAAAAGCAGCAGGAAACGGACACTTGGTGCAGCAATGGAGCTGACTGTGTTGTAATTTCATATCTCATACAACATACATAGGCTAGAAGTGTAGCACATTTATAAATTGGGGGGTTGCTTAGTGTACCCTCCAACCACATTTTGTGGTTGGTTGGGATTGGTCCTTAGCTCAACCAATCCCAACCAACACACATTTGTGGTTGCTTGGGTCACAAGCAAGCTCACCCATTGGCCAACTTATTGGCCAATAGGGTAAGCTTCCCTCTCATCTCTCTCTTGCTCATTGTTTGTACTAAAGAGCCTCTTGGCTCATTATTCAATGTATCAATTCTCTCTCTTCTAACAGACTGTGCAAGGGTTGAGCCAGAGGAATGATGAGTGAGGGAGGCGGGTAGGCGAAGAAGGTGGAAGTGAGGGAGTGAGGTGGGCAGGCGGAATGTGGAGATGTGGGGTAGAGGGAGATGTGGGGTAGAGGGAGGTGAACAGCGGAACACATTTTCCTCGTTGCAGAAGTCTCTTGCTGCACCCACTGAACTAATGTGCAAGGGCTAAACACACAGTGCACGGGCTAAACACACAGTGCACGGGCTAAACACACAGTGCACGGGCTAAACACACAGTGCACGGGCTAAACACACAGTGCACGGGCTAAACACACAGTGCACGGGCTAAAGACACAGTGCACGGGCTAAAGACACAGTGCACGGCAGGGCTGACAGAGAGTGCACGGCACAGTGAGTAAGGTGAGGGGGCCAGACGAAAGGAGAACGGAGGAATGGGGTAGGTAGGTTTTGGGTGCCCATCCCGAGGTCACACCCCCTTGTATCCCCCCTGCCATGCTGCCATGCTGCCATGCCGCTCCCCCCCACCACCTCACCTCGACCTCGTTCTTGAGCAGCAGAGACAGCTCCGCCATGGTGCTGTTGCCGGGGTAGAACCGGGCCGTCGCCTCCGCCCTGCTGCGCGCCCTGCACAAGTCGCGGGGGCAGGGGAGGAGTGGGTGGAAAAGATGTGATGTGGCGCTTGGGATGATGAAGAGCGTGGGGGGAGGCAAGGATTATTTAAATAAACCCATGCGAGGGGGCCGAGTGTTTAAGGGAAAAGTAGGTACGGCCCGAGCCACACTTGCTTCTTTGCGTTGAACCTCGAAACAAGTCGAACCGGTTCGGTTCAATGCGCTTCGTCTGGATAAGAAGAACCGAACCAAACAGTTCCGAGTGATCTCTTGTCGGTTCGAGTCCAACCGTTTTGACAAAAAGGTTCTATGCTCTCATGACGATACAGCACCCACCGGTTGAGCAGGTTGGCAATGACATGGCGGTCGTCAGTGGGGTGCGTGCGTGCCACAACAGAATGCCATGGTTGAACAGGATATGAGACTGTGCATGGATCACCCAACCACTCTCACCGGTTGAGCAGGTTGGCGATGACGTGGCGGTCGTCAGCGGGGTGAGTGCGAGCCACGGAGCGGTAGTCGTCTCGTGAGATGGAGAGCACCCGACACACCGACAGCGTGCGCACCGTCCACAGCTCCGTGAGGTCGCACAGGAAGGCGATCTCTAAGGGGGGTGGAGAGGGAGTGGGTAGGGCAGCACATCGGCGTTTAGCTGGGTATGGAAGGACACCGACAGCATTCGCACCGTCCACAGGTCTGTGAGGTCGCACAGGAAGACAATCTCTAAAGGGGGAATGTGGGAAGGCACAGGAATACTTGGTATGCCCCCCCTGGCCCCAGCGTGCCCCCCTGTCCCCTGCCTTGCACAACTCACCTCCCTTGCTCTCTGCACACCTCCCTTGCACTCCCCACACCTTCCCTCCCCACACCTATGATGCGAAAGACGCTCAGAGGACGCTGCGTCCTGCGTCTGGACGCAGCGTCTGGACGCTAGGACGCAAGACGCGCGTCCAGACGCAGGACGCACATCGAAATTTTTTCGGGCTGCCCCGAAATTTTTTTTTTTTTCCAGATTACGAATTTCAATCTCGCGATTTCGACGCGAGTGTCGAAATCGCAAAATTTTGACCCCACATTGCCCAATTCGACATTGAAAAACAGCCCCCCCCCCAACATTTCAATTTCATAACCCCCCCTTCAACAATTGAATTCCAAATACCTCTCAACCACTTCACATCACATCTAGAAAACCCAACCAAGGTGCCTACCACCAAGCCCATTTAGCAATCCAACCAAGTCATTTCTCATTTCACCCACCCAACCAATTCTCTTTCGAAAACCCTAGAGGTTTTAGCCTACAAGCATAGCTTAGCTCCATTATGGCTTCCTCAAGCAACCCTACGTCATCTAACGCATCTAGGGATGTTTATGCCGAGGACGAGTCTCCCCCGCAGCGTTTCACTAGTGATGGGGTGGAGAAGAAACCGCAAAAGCCCAAACACCATATTTAAAGGGCATTTTTGGACATTCGAGGATCCGACGAAAAAGGGATTGCAGTGCGAGTGCCTTTGGTGCGAGAAATCGTTCGCCTTCAGTAGTAGCCGGTGCACTCAGCATCTCGCCGAATGGAACGACGCGAACGTGCGGCGCGATGGCGGTGTTGTTTGCGCGAAGGTTCATAAGAGCATTTCAGACGCCATTCGCGGCGGAAAGGAGACAAAGATTACGGCGCGCAAGGATAAAGAGAGGGCTTTCGAGGCGGCGCTTACTGCGGTGAGCGGCCATGGCGGAGCGGAACCGAAGGCAAAGAAGGGGCGGATGGAGGATTGGTATGGCGAGGGGGGGAAGGCGGCGAAGCGTGCTGCCGACGATGGGATTCGCCTCTTCATCACGGGGACGCGCTTGGGGGAGACTATATGCCAGCACCCCCTCTTCCTCAACATGCTGCGCGCCGTGAACGCCACCGGAACCAGCTATGTCCCCCCCAAGCGTGGTTACGTTGGAGGCGCCGGGCTGCTGGCGTGCAAGCAGCAGATTGAGAAGGCGTTGACGCCCATTACGAAGACGTGGAAGGAGGCTGGCATGACGATCGCAAGCGATATGATGAGGGACAAGAGCGGGCGTGCGCAGATGAACATCCTCTGCATCAACGCCAGTGGAGCGGTTTCCCAGGAGGCGGTCGACTGCAAGGCGGAGACCAAAAGCGGAGCGTTTATCATGAGCGTCCTGCAGCCGGTCATCGAGAAGGTTGGACCGGAGCACGTCGTCGCGATTTGCACAGACGGCGGCAGCAACTACGTGTCCGCCGCCAAGCTGCTGCAGAAGAAGTACCCGCACATTGAGTTCGTCCCCTGCGCCACTCATGTGCTCGACTTGCTGTTGGAGGACTTCGGCAGCATGGCTTGGGCGCAGGAGGTCGTGCCTGTGGCGACCGACATGATTTCGTTCATTCGCAGCCACACGTGGACGCGTGCCTTCCTGCGCTGTCCCGAGCTGCACGGGGAGGAGAAGTCGCTTCAGCCGCTGCGACCGGCGGGCACGCGCTTTGGGACGCAGTACATAGCGGTGTCTCGTCTGCGTGAGATTCGCCCTCAGCTGATGGCGATGGTGACGCACAAGGATTGGGAGGAGAAGGGGAGGAAGCAGCTGACTGGGAAAGACTTTGAGGCGTCGGTGTTGGATGTGGAGTGGTGGGCAAAGGTGGATACCTTCGTGAACGTAATGGCGCTGCCGTACAAGGTGATGAGGAAGACGGATGGGCCGGCGAAGGGGATGATGGGGGCGATGTACGACATGATGCTGCAGCTGACGGAGGACTTGTCGGCGCTGTTGGAGAGTGCGGATTGTCCGCTCAGCGATGCGGATAAGGAGGGGTTGCTGGAGCACTTCAGGCGGCGTTCGGACGAGAGTTTGGCCTGTCCTCTTCACGTGGTAGGCCGGATTCTGAACCCGGTCAACCAGGAGGAGGGGATCTATCTCAAGGACATTGAGTGCACCAGGGTGATGAAGGCCTGGCTGTCGCGCTCGAGGGCCTTCGTCGACAAGTACTGGAAGAAGGATGGCGAGAGGACTGGAACGATGATGGCGCTGCAGGAGGGGATGCTGGCGTACATTGAGGGCAGGGGGTGCTTTGGGACGGAGGAGGCGATAGAGGGGCGTGCGCAGCTGAAGGCAGGGAAGGGGGACATGGCGACGTGGTGGAAGATGAACGGCTGGGAGTATGCCGATCTGACAGGCCTTGCAATCCGTGCGGTGTCACAGGCCGTTTCCGCTTCTCCGTGCGAGCGGGGATGGGCTACGTGGGATGGGGTGCACACGACGCGCAGGAACAGGTTGGGGTCGGAGAAGGTGCGCGACCTGGTGTTCGTGGCGCACAACTGGAAGGCTGTGCTCGGCCACCACGAGGGTGCAGTTGTTGCAGGGCCAAGTGGGGAAGTGAGGAAGGCGGGGGTAGTGGAGGGGAACATTCCCACCCCTCCCCTCCCCGAGGGGTACAGGTTGGAGGAGGATGGGGAGAGGGAGGTGGACGAGGACGACATGATGGTCGATGAGTACAAGGACCAGGATGAGAAGAAGGATAGCGAGGAGGACGGGGATGAGTGACTGGTTGCTTGCATGCAGTGCTGTGGTGGTAGTTTAATAGTATGCGTGTTCTTCAGTGATACGATAAACTATGTATGTATGTGACCTTGGGACATGTGTGTGTGTGACAATACGTGACTCACCTTAATCTTGAGATTTGGGGGAAAATTTGATGTTGGGGCCAAGTTTGCCTTGAAAGTGTGGAACGTTCCCCCCCCCCCCCCCCCCCCTCATCCCATGCCCTATAACAAGTTTTTTTGCCTGCCCGGGGGTTTTTTTTGCATGCCCGGGACTGCGTCTTTTGGTGCGTCTTTCTGGTCCTGGTGAAGCGTCCTGCGTCCAGGACGCAGGACGCGTCTTTCGCATCATAGCCCCACACCTCCCCATGCACTCCCCACACCTCCCCATGCACTCCCCACACCTCCCCGCTCCAGCTGGTCAGCGTGCAGTAAGCGGCTCACCTCCCACGCAGTCCCCCTCGTGCAGCACAAACCACTGCATCTCGTTGCCGTCCTTGTCCCGCACCAGCACCTGCGCACGGGGGAGGGCGAGACAACAGAGAGAGAAAAAGAAAAGATGGAGAGGTTGTTGTGGGCATTGTAGGGTGGGAGCGTGGGAGCAGACGCAACGATGAGCAGGTCCGTGGTGCTACCACCTCACCATGCTCTCTGGTTCCTCTGACCACACCTCACTGTGCCGCACCACACCGCACGACTGCGTGCACCATAAAGCGCTCACCTGCGCCTGCCCCGAGGCAATGATGAGCAGCTCCGTGGTGCTGTTGCCTGCTGCCACCAGGTCCACGTGTGGCAGGAAGAAATCTACATTGGCCCGCGTTGTCACTTGGTCCTGCACCCATGCACACACACACACATGGGGACGGATTGATGGAGGGATGGGGGATGGAAAGGGATTTGAAAGTGATTGTGAGTAAGGGAGCATGCAATGGGGTGGGCGCAAGCAGATTTGCTGCAAATACTTGAGTGTGGAATACAGGAGACAAGGGTGATACAGGTCAATGGGTATGGGGATACAAGGTGAGTCGTATTGGAGGGGTCGCATGGGACGTGACGCATGGGAGGGGGCGTGTGGGAGCAGGCGAATAGGTGGGGGCGCATGGGCATGGGAGGCGGTGACTCACGCGGAACACATTGGAGGTGCCGGCGAAGAGGTAGGAGGAGTTGACGAAGCGCGAGTACACGTGGCGCTTCACCAGCGTGCGCACGGATGATGGGCAGTGCAACAACACATCGTCCCTCACCTGTTTGCATGCATGCACACACGCAGACATGCATGCACACATACATGCACACATGCACACACGCGTGCACACATGCAGACATGTACACATGCATGTACACATGCACACATGCACACATGCACACAGGCACATAAACGCATGCCGACATGGGATGCACACACACCCAACACCGGGAACATGGGCAGTGAGATTCGAGTCCACACCATCTGTTAGATTATACTACTCTTCTGTATCCTGCATTGATCCCATAAACCCTAGGATAGAGATAGGCACCCAAACTATGTTTGGGTGCACAACTAGGGTTAACCCTAGTAGGGGGTTGGAACCTAACCTTGGTCCAATTATTGGCCTCCAAGGTTGGGTTGGGAGATTATTGGCCCCCCCAATAATGTTGGCCCACCATTGGCCAACATTATTGGGACCCCCCAATAATTCTCCAACCCAACTTATTGGTGGGGGGCCAATAATGTTGGCTAGGTAACCAACCAACCCCCCCTCCCCTAGCTTCCACTATGTAAACCCTCATGATTCCTAATCAAGTCAATGGTTCAATTCTAACACCATCCCGCTGGCCTCTGCACCAACTCACCCACCCCCACACGAAACCCCGTAGAAATCCTTGCTATGCCCTCCCTCTCACCTCTGCAGTGAAAAAGTGCAGCAAGAGGTGCGCCTGCACTTCAACTCCTCTCCACCCGCTCACCTCTGCCGCATGCCCCACTCAGCTTCACAATGCGTCCCTCAAGTCACCCCCACATACCCCTACCCACTCACCTCTGCGGTGTCGAAGTGCAGCTTGAGGTGTGCCTGCACTTGCTCCTGCAGTGAGGCCGGCACCACATGTGCCCGCATGTACCTGGGGGGGATGAGGCATGCAGAAGGATCAAAAGGTTAGATCAAGGAAAGTTGGGATCAAGAAGTGGGATGGGATGGGATGACCATTTGGATGGTGCCCCAAAAGCCAACAAAGTTGGGCCTATTGGTCAATCGATCATGCTGCCTAACTCAGCTTTGGATGAACCCATCCTTCCCCACTTAAATGTCTGCCTGCCTTTCACTTGCATTTCTCTCAACATGCACACATACACACGCACACACATTACGCCTCCCCATATCCTCCCCACGCACACAGCATGCAGGGCCCACCGGTTGATGGCAGCGAGGCGGTCGCGGTATGTGGCAGTGTGGGCGTCGGCCTTGGTGAGCAGCACGGTCATGTTGCCCAGCACGTACGCCGTGAGGCCCAGGTTCACCAGCATGAACAGTGCTGCCCACATGCGCTCCGGTACTGTGAAGGCTGACAGGTCGCCGTAGCCTGCAGTGGGGGGTGGTGGGTTGAGTGGATGCTCTGAACGGGTGAATGCACTGAGGGAGAAAATGCACTAAGGGGGTCATTGTGTAAAGAGAGAGAATTCATTCAGGAGCGCTAAGAGATTGCATACATTAAGGGAGTGAATGCACTGAGCAAGTGGGATTGGGAGTCCTGTTGACAGGCAGGGTGGGCTGTAGTGAGGGGCTCATGAATTGAGAAGTGAGGAAGAGCGAATTTATGGATGAATGGAAGGCTCACATGCGCTCTCGTGCACTCACATGCGCTCTCATGCACTCACATGCGCTCTCATGCACTCACATGCGCTCTCATGCACTCACATGCGCTCTCATGCACTCACATGCGCTCTCATGCACTCACATGCGCTCTCATGCACTCACATGCGCTCTCATGCACTCACATGCACTCACATGCGCTCTCATGCACTCACATGCGCTCTCATGCATTCACATGCGCTCTCATGCACTCACATGCGCTCTCATGCACTCACATGCGCTCTCCTGCACTCACATGCGCTCTCATGCACTCACATGCGCTCTCATGCATTCACATGCGCTCTCATGCACTCACATGCGCTCTCATGCACTCACATGCGCTCTCATGCACTCACATGCGCTCTCATGCACTCACATGCGCTCTCATGCACTCACATGCGCTCTCATGCACTCACATGCGCTCTCATGCATTCACATGCGCTCTCATGCACTCACATGCGCTCTCATGCATTCACATGCGCTCTCATGCACTCACATGCGCTCTCATGCACTCACATGCGCTCTCCTGCACTCACATGCGCTCTCATGCACTCACATGCGCTCTCATGCATTCACATGCGCTCTCATGCACTCACATGCGCTCTCATGCACTCACATGCGCTCTCATGCACTCACATGCGCTCTCCTGCACTCACATGCGCTCTCATGCACTCACATGCGCTCTCATGCACTCACATGCGCTCTCATGCACCCACAAACAGTTATGGCACAGGACCTGTGGTGGAGAGGGTGGTCATCGCCCTGCGGAACCAGCAGCACATGGCGCGAAGATTAGAAGCACCGAACCAAATTCGCCGTACGAAGCAAGAGCGCGCATCCCATGTTGAGGCGATGATCGTCCCACGAGGACCAAGTTTATGGCGGAAGGCAGGCACAGAGGCAATGAGGATGGTGTTGACGATGATGCGAGTGAGTGGGAGGGGTGGGAGGGGTGGGAGGGGCGAAGGAGACACACGTGGAAAGGCACGTTCCGTGAGCAGGTGCATGCAGGCATAAAAAGACACGTCACATGATTGGTATACCGTGCCAAGTGCTGTTTCCGATTGTAGCATTCCATGCAGACGAGAAGACATGGATCACATAAGCTAAACCGTAGCAACCATGTGATGCGAGGAGAAGACAGAACCAAAGGGGCTATTGACAAGTGGTTTGGTTGGGATGCACAAGAGGCGCAACGGGTGCCTTCCTTCATTGGGTCAGTTCAGAAACTGGTCTGCTAAAATGGCAGGGCAGTAGGCGACCATGATGAGGTGGTTCGGTAGCGCACAGCGGAATCAAATACTGAGGGTGGGGTGAACCGGGGAACAGATAGCAGCGCACCAGTAGATGGATGTGACATAGGCGTCGAGTGGAGGGCGCAGAGGCAGGTCGGGCTCACAGTGCCCCACCCACTGGGATGGGGGAAGGAGCAGCGGGAGGTGGAGGAGAACGACGTTTGGGAGGGGGACGAGGATGCAATTAAGAGGGTGGTGAAGCGGGAGGAAGGGAGAGAAGAGGAAAGAGAGAGATGGGGGGGGCCGGGGGTGGAGGGGGGGGGGGAAGGAGACGGATGACAAGGAACGAAGAGTGGTGGCAGGGGCAGACAGCAGCAGACAGCCCTGTTGGCAGCACACCATATCCTCACTGAAGTTGCACACAGGAAGGCCAGCAGACAACCTGGTGGGCAAAGAGGCGTGGCATACAGCCCACCATGCCTGGCAGCACACAGCCCACCATGCCTGGCAGGCAGCACACAGCCCACCAGCCCCTCCTCTCTGCCCACTTGTCAAAGGCATCGTCAAAACCTCAGGAGTCACTTCACAAGAAAGACCAAACCCCTCCTCTGTCTGCCCTCTGTTCCTCATCCCTCCTCTCTGTCCCTTTTTCAACCGAGTCTTCATCATGAGTGCCGGAGTCACAATCACGCCACACAACATGCAGCTGCAGCTCACCGTGTCCTCACTGAAGTTGCGCACGCGTGCGAGGAGGAAGAAGACACAGGCGGACCAGTGGGCGGCGAAGAGGATGAGGAGGGCGAACTTGTGCACACTGGTGGAGATGTAGTCGTACCGCACGTCCACGGCCATGTCCCACAGCACGTTCCAGCTGGGAAGGGGGGGAAGAGGGGAATGTGCCACACACACACACGTGGGTACGGAATGCAGTGAGCCACCGATGTAGTCCTCATAGCACACGTGCACCACCATGTCCCACAGCACGTTCCACCTGGGAGGCATGGAGGCGGGGAAACGATCGGGTTGAGCAGAGGGGCATTGAGAGGGGAAGTCAGAGCGCATAAACGCCATGGAGGAAGTTCTGCCTGCAAGGCAGGGCACGGAGAAGACGGGAGTGATGCCAGAAAGTTAATCATGGAGAAAGAGGGGCGATGGATGGGGTTGAGCAGAGGGGAGTGATGGGATGAGATGAGGTGCATCACAGAGGACGGCAAAGCACACCGCGACCACAGGCAGCCCTCCCTAACAGGCAGGTGGCCCTCACATGAAGGTGGCCCTCACAAGTAGGTGGCCCTCACAAGTAGGTGGCCCTCACAAGTAGGTGGCCCTCACAAGTAGGTGGCCCTCACAAGTAGGTGGCCCTCACAGGCGGCTCTCACTGACAGGCGGATGAGGCGCAGCAGTCGCAGCAGGCCGAAGGCGGAGAGGGCGACAGCAGCGGTGCCGGTGGGCTGATACACGCCCTTGAGCACCAGATCCCATGGCAGCGCTGCTAGCATGTCGTACCAGAACATGCCCCGTAGGTACCTGCGGGGGGAGAGGAAGAGAAGAGACATGAGAGGAGAAGGGGGGGAAAAGGGTTTGGAACAAAAAAGCGATAATTATAAGGACGACATATGGATGGTCACACTCAGCAGTGGGAGCATGTGCGTGTAACGTAAGTGGCACTTAAAACGAGGGTGTACATTTGTCCTTGCAACAGTGCTGACGTCAGCACTCAGTTCATTCAGAGTATTCTTTTTTGAACCCACGAGGACAAACGTGGACCCTCGTTTTAAGAAAATGAGAAAGAGTACACATGCTTACTCGACGGCAATGGTGGCGAGGCTGGTCTTCCACTCGCCCATTCGGAACTCGGGCACGAAGAAGCTGAGCAGCACGTCGCTCAGAAACACCTGCGGGACGAGAAGGGGCGAGAAGGGGCAAGGGACGAGAAGGGGCAAGGGGCGAGAAGGGGCAAGGGGCGAGAAGGGGCAAGGGGGACGAAGCGAAGGAGGACGAAAAGGGGGGAAGGAGGTCGAGGGGTGGTGAGGGGGGGGCGAAGAGGGACGAGGTGGGCTGAGAGGGGGCGCCGGGTGGCAATAGAGGGTGAGGAAAACTGAGGCAGAGACACAGAGGAAAGCACATGAAATGAGAGTGTGTGGCATCAAAACAAAGAGCAGCACGTTGCTCAGGACCTCAAGGAGAGGATGGCGCGAGGAGGGGTTGGGGAGGGGGCGATGAGAGGCAGAGACACAGAGGGCGAGGCAATGAGCGTGATCAGGCAGAACAAGAGGGAATCAGTGTGCATAAGAAGCGGAGAGGGGAAGTGCGTGGCTCAGGATAACTCTGCTGCCCCATGGCACCGCCCACCCCATCCCGCACTTCAACCCCGCATTGAGCACCTGCATTAAGCACTCACAGCGTCGGTGCAATAGATAAAGACGTTGACTGGCGTGAACACATTCTCGGTGTCGAGGAACGCCACGTTGAAGGGCTCCACGATGCCGATGAGGATGGCCAGCAGCAGCAGCGCCGCCTGGAACTGCTGGTACAGCGATGCCTGCGGGTTGATCACCCAGTCTGATAGATACACCGAATCTGGCCCGCCCTCGCCCCCCTCGCCCTCCCCTGCCGCCTCGCTTGATGGAGGCACCTCTGAGATGGCCTGAAGTCAGGATGGGATCCGGTCGAGTGGGGTGGGATGGGATGGGATGGGATGGGATGGGATGGGATGGGATGGGATGGGATGGGATGGGATGGGATGGGATGGGATGGGATGGGATGGGATGGGATGGGATGGGATGGGATGGGATGGGTTGGGATGGGATGGGATGGGACGGGACAGGATGGGACAGGACGGGATGGGACGGGATGGGACGGAACGGGACGGGACCAAACGGAACGGGACAGCGGGACGGGACGAGACGGGACGGGATGGGATGGGACGGGATGGGATGGGAGGGATGGGATGGGAGGGATGGGATGGGAGGGATGGGATGGGAGGGATGGGATGGGAGGATGGGATGGGATGGAGGGATGGGATGGGAGGGATGGGATGGGAGGGATGGGATGGGAAAAGGGTCCGACGGGAAGTGCGAAACAAACAGCACAAATCCGCAGCAAGCAAGCGCATCCCACTGATCACCTCGAACATGCTCCCACTGTACATATCCCCGCGGTGAAAGCTACTCTCCGGAGTCACATTCAAGCTGTTACTCCCACTCCCCCCTCCCCCTCCCGCACTGCCAAAGCTCCCCGCACTCCCGCCACTGTCAGCCCGGGACAAACTGCGCCGTCCACTCCCAACGCTGCCCGCCGCCCCGGGCGGCAGCAGGTGCTGTTGCGAGGCGAGGGAGTCGTCGGAACCAGACCCCTTGCGGCGGCGGATGGACTCAAAGCGCAGCATGGAGGCGGACTTGTGCAGAATGGCCCTCAGCTCGGGGGATTCTAGAGGCGCCAGGCGGGATTGCAGCGGCTGATGGGGGAGAGGAGGGGGTAAAGGGGAGGTGAGGGGAGTTGGGGGATGCAAGGGAGGGGGAAGGAGAGAGTTGTGGTTGGTACAGGGGGGCCTGCCAACCTCCTGCCAGCAGGAGAGTTGCAGAATGGCCCTCAGCTCGGGGGATTTGATTGGTGCCAGGCGGCGGATTGGAGGGGCTGGTGGAAAGGTTGGGGGGCATTGCGCGTGATGCGGGTGTGTGGGGTTGAGAGAGGGTGGCAGTTGTGTAGGGGTGGGGTATTGGGGGGTTTTGACGGGGTGGGGGTTGCGGGGTTTGTGGGGGGGACGGGAGGTGGTGAGAGGGAACGGTATCTTGTGACAGTTCCCTGGGGGCATCATGCACGTCACGATGGAGCAAGCGCGCCATGCAAGCGCGCCATGCAGGCTGCACCCACCTGCTCGACGCCATGCAGGCTGCACCCACCTGCTCGACGCCATCAGCGGGGTCCCTCTCCCCACGCTCGTCCCTCTCCCCACGCTCGTCCCTCTCCCCACGCTCGTCCCTCTCCCCACGCTCGTCCCTCTCCCCACGCTCGTCCCTCTCCCCACGCTCGTCCCTCTCCCCACGCTCGTCCCTCTCCCCACGCTCGTCCCTCTCCCCACGCTCGTCCCTCTCCCCACGCTCGTCCCTCTCCCCACGCTCGTCCCTCTCCCCACGCTCGTCCCTCTCCCCACGCTCGTCCCTCTCCCCACGCTCGTCCCTCTCCCCACGCTCGTCCCTCTCCCCACGCTCGTCCCTCTCCCCACGCTCGTCCCTCTCCCCACGCTTCTCTCCCTCTCCCCACGCTTCTTTCCCTCTCCCCACGCTTCTCTCCCTCTCCTTGCTGCTTCCTCGCCCCACCCTCGTCCCTCTCCCCGCGCGCATCCCTATCCCCACAGCTCTCGCCATCGCCCACGGTGCTCAAGAGCAACCTGCACGCACCTGCTCGAGCCCATCAGCGGGATCGCCGCTCATCCCCCTTTCCACTGCCCGCGCCATCGCCCACGGTGCGCTCCCCCTGTCCTCCACCTCCCCGCCTCTCCCCGCAGCACCCCCTCCTGTTGCTGGCCCCACTCCTGCTGGCCCCACTCCTGCCGCCCCTTCGCCGCGCATGTCGACAGTAAACGCGAACGCCTCGTGGTTGCTGTACGCCGCAACCGGCGCCGCGTACGGCGGCACAGCAGACGCCGCAATTGGCGACGCGAATGGCGAGACGGACGGGCTTCGATAATCCCTGTCTGTGGCTTCTGCATGAAAGGCCCAGTTCGCAGACGTGGAATCCGCAGAACGCGCCGTGTGGACAGGGGATACCGTCGCTCCCGACCCTGTCACTGGTGCTAATCCGACGGTTCCCGACGCTTCAAATGCAGATGGTGGAGGCGATCCTACGGCCCAGGAGGACCCGCCGCTGCGGTTGCTACTTGCGGATGCCGTTCCTCGGATGAAGCCGGGAGCAATCAACGGCTGGTTCTCCTCCTCTCGGGGTTCCATCTGTCACGGCTTTCAGGTGATCCGTTACGAATTGCAAATGATCTTGCACGAAGAGCACTGAGGAACTGTAACGAACATTAAATACGTTCAGCAACGTGGTCAATATTATCTGTTGCGGGCTGCTCAGTGAGCTGTCACTAACGTGATCCGATATCCTCTCTGTTACGATAACGGTAGTGTAATCATCGAACGAAGCAGGTTGCGGTAAGGACAGTCAAACGGCACCAGCAACCCTAAATGGCTGCGCTCTCGTCCTCACGGAAGCAACAGCGCGCACACGCTAGCTCCTCCTGGATGCCTCATGCTTATCGTCCCCCGCCATTCCTAGCTCGACCGTTCTACACGCCGGATGTCGCGGTGATCGGCTACTGTACTGGTAACACAACACAGGCCACAAGACAGGAATGAATGGTGTTGCACATGGGTTCTCCATTCCACCTCGTTATGCCAGATGTGGAGAACAGCTCACATATGAACACCCGCATTTGTGTTCGGTTCGAAGAGTTTCTGTGCGTTGGAATGAGGTCAACTCAACATCTGACCTCCACTACCACAAGCAAATGGAAGGAGGGGAGGGACAAGGGCAGGTTCGTTCGGTCCTTCCCTCCCCTGTAGGGATTTCTGGCCAGATTGTTACTTCGGGTGCAGTGACGCGACGCGGAAGTCAGGTGTAGCCCTGGGAGCAGTGCAGCTTGTCACGGAAAGCGAACCAATCAGGAGCCAAGGCCACGTAGGCCGTCAGGTTCAAACCAATGCTTGGGGACGGTAGGAACTGTACTATACTGGACTGTACTAGAACATAAAGTTCACATAACGCGTACAATAACTATTAATGTTATGAGTTCTTTTCAACATTCCGTCATCTCCCGTATATAGTGTTACGAATAGTAAATTGAGAAACGGCACTGTGCATTCTTACCTGTAGCAAGAACAGAGAACACACAAAGGAGTACGAAGACGAAAGGTCGAAGCGTCGCGAACAGTTGGAGGGCATCTTGAATTTCGGAGCAGACAACATTGGGCAGCTTCAGGAGCGAGGAGAAAGGCAGAAACAGTTTCGCCACTGTACGCACCGCACGGTTGGGTTTGAATACAAATAAAGGAATGTACCACATGGCTGTTAACGGGAATGGAGTGTTTGACAAAGTTTGAAGGAAGAAAAAGAGGGGGATGAACTAGCAGAAATGGGGATACAAATAGCAAACCCTAGAAGGGTTGTACTCGCTATAGAGCACCCCACTACAGGCTAGAACATAAGAATAATATTCTGACACACCCCCATAGCCAAAGTGGGGTGTAATCAGCAGAGCAGGCAAAACAGTACAAGCTCAGGGTGGATCACAATGTCACCACGCATTCTGAGCACAAGGTCAAGAAGAAATAGTTCAAAGTTAACAATTATGAGCAAAGCTAGCAGTGGTCACAACGGGCAAGTGAGGAGGAGGAGGGAGAGTGAGAGGAGAGGAGATAGAAGGCGACGGCTGAAGCTGCAGACACACGGGCAACAGGAGTGGCGAGCACAGTGGCTACCGGGACAGCGCCCCGGACTACGGGAGTAACAGGCCCCGCGGCTCAAGTAGCGGCAGACGGGCAACGGACCCACAGGCGACCGGCTCAGCGACAAGCTCACTGGGCTACCGGGACAGCGCCCCGGACTACAGGTGCTGCGGACGACAAACTGGCAACCTCCGCTCAACCTCCCACACACAGTCCCACCCCCCTCATACACACCCACTGCTACACCGCTAGCTGCACTCCCACGCACCCCCCTTAAACCCTAAACCCGAGTCTCCCACACAACCACCCCCCTCAGCGACAGCTGCAGCAGTGGGAGACGAAGGAGGAGGAGAGTACACCGGCCACCCCCATACCCGCCACCCCACAGCGGCCCCCTCAGGTCGCCACGACGGACGACGGGAAATGGCAGGGGGAAGGGGGGGGGGGGGGGGGGGGGGGTGTGGTGAAAGGGGCCCACCACGGGCCTGGTTGGAGGGCGGGGCCGCGACAAGGGGCGGGACCGCGACGGTCGGGGCGGGGCCGCGACGAGGGGCGGGGCCGCGACGTAGGGCGGGGCCGCTTCGAGGGGCGGGGCCGCGACGCAGGGCGGGGCCGCGACGTAGGGCGGGGCCGCGAAGGGTCGGGGCGGGGCCGCGACGTAGGGAGGGGCCGCGACGAGGGCGGGGCCGCGACGAGGGCGGGGCCGCGACGGTCGGGGCGGACGCCCGCCGCGCGCCTCGGGACGCACAGCGGGCAGAGAACCGCCGCGCGCCACGGGGCGCACGGCGGGCAGAAAACCGCCGCGCGCCTCGGGGCGCCGGCGGGAAAGAAAACCGCCGCGCGCCACGGGGCGCACGGCGGGAAGGAAAGGTAGCAGCGGAAGCGAGGTGGTAACCCACCCACAGGTTCGATCCAAGGGGATCGACCTGCTCTGATAGCATGACAAAGTTTGAAGGAAGAAAAAGAGGGGGATGAACTAGCAGAAATGGGGATACAAATAGCAAACCCTAGAAGGGTTGTACTCGCTATAGAGCACCCCACTACAGGCTAGAACATAAGAATAATATTCTGACAGTGTTGGCCCCACCCTCGCTTGGGCAACGCTGACGACTTGGTCGGATGTTCGGGAGTAGCAACAAACCGTTCACAGTGGGAGAGCTGCTCGACAGGCTTCGTCGAGCTGCAGGGGACCGCTGTGGTGCTGCTGTCGACCAGGGAGCTCGACAGCTGCAACTGACTGGTCTGGTAGACGGGTGGGACGTCGTCCAGGACCTGCAGTTCGACCGGGAGGTCGACGGAGCAGTCTGTCGACCTCACAAGTGAGCAGCGGTCGACGAGAGGAGCTTGGCGACAACCGCTAACTGTTCCGGTCGACGGAAGGGGTCCGTCGACCAGGGGGTAGCTCGACGGGAGTTGTGGTCGGCCAGAGGCACCTGGTGGTCGTCCAGAGGGACCTGGTGGTCGACCATAAGCAGTGGTGGTCGACCGGAAGCACCTGGTGGTCGACCGGGTCGACCGGGTAATCTGCTCGACGAGTTCCGCGGAGGCACGCAAACGTCGTCGAGGATGCAGTGGCGCAGGCGACTGCGGGCTGGTATCCCGGAGTCGATGTGGCTCGTCAGGCGCAGACAACAGCCGACGGATGCCCAACGAGGCAAGTCGGGCCAATCGTCTGCGCGCATCTGTGAGCGTACGCACTGCTGTACAGCCGCTCTGTTGCAGCGTTGGTACGCCGTCGACCTGCTCTGTTGGCAGGTCGCCGTTCTGCAGTGCTGGCGCGGCTCCTCTACGCAACGCTGGCAGGCGGTCGACCGAGCTGCGCTGGCGGTCGACCAGGCTAGCAGCAGGGTTGCTAGGTGCCTGATGTAGTCATTGTTGTCATTGCTTGTTGAATCATTCTTTAATTTCGACTTTGCCTAGTGGAAATTCTTGCCGATTTCTCTCGTGAATGTGCAAGCACTAAGGAACTAAGCAAAGCTACGATCATTCCTAGTAGTTCGTGCCAACCCCCGTAGTCTAGTTCACTACCGTTGTAGGGTGACTATCCGCATGGTGCGGTGAGCGTGGAGGACTGGGGTTCGATTCCTGCTGTTGGCGACTTCCTGTGCCCTAGTGGTGGGCCCTCCCAGTGAGGGGAGTGTTGGAAGTGGACACTGGAATGGCCCGAAGTGGTCTCCCTAAGGGCTACAGGTGTCGTCCTGGGGGGTATGGGTGCGGTGACTCACTATGGAAACATGCCCTTTTAGCCCAGTTGGTTAGCGGACTGGACATGGTGCGGTGAGCTCGACCAGGAGACGGCGGCCCCTCCGTAGACGAACACGTAGCCTCCCGTGCTCGTCCAGTTCTGTTTGTCGCCCGCGTCGTCGGCATCGACGTAGCCGATCAGCTCCAATGATTCTGGTCCACCGCCGAACTCCAGGGCGGTGTCGCGGGTTGTCAGAACATTATAGCTCATGCATATTATGTAGGCTATAGTGTCAAAATTAGAAGAAAGAAAGAGGGTTGAACTAGCAAGAATGAGGATACAAATAGCAAACCCTAGAAGGGTTGTACTCGCTATAGAGCACCCCACTACAGGCTAGAACAATAAGATAATATTCTGACACACCCCCATAGCCAAAGTGGGGTGTAATCAGCAGAGCAGGCAAAGCAATACAAGCTCAGGGTGGATCACAATGTCACCACATATTCTGAGCACAAGTTCAAGAAGAAATAGTTTAGAGTTCACAATTATAAGCAAAGCTAGTGGTAGTCACAACGGGCAAGTGAGGAGGAGGAGGGAGAGTGAGGGGAGAGGAGATAGGAGGCGACGGCTGAAGCTGAAGACACACGGGCAACAGGAGGCAGACTGGCACAGCGGCTACCGGACAGCGCCCGGACTACAGGAGTAACAGGCCCCGCGGCTCAAATAGCGGCGGACGGGCAACGGACCCACAGGCGGCTGGCGTAGAAGTCTAGCTCACTGGGCTACAGGGACAGCGCCCCGGACTACAGGTGCTGCTGACGACAGACTGGCAACCTCCGCTCATCCTCCCGCACACAGTCCCACCCCCCTGATACACACCCACTGCTACACCGCTAGCTCTACTCCCACGCACCCCCCTTAAACCCTAAACCCCAGTCTCCCACACAACCACCCCCCTCAGCGACAGCTGCAGCAGTGGGAGACGAAGGAGGAGGAGGAGCAAAGGGAGGAAGGCACACCGATCACCCCCATACCCGCCACCCCACAGCGCGGCCCCCTCAGGTCGCCTCGACGGACGACGGGAAATGGGGGGGAGGGGAGAAAGGGGCCCACCACGGACCTGAGAGAGTCGCAGGTGGGGGGACGGGGCCGGGGCCGGGGCCGCGAGTAGGGCGACGGGGCCGCGCGGGCGGCGACGGGGCCGCGCGGGCGGTGAAGGGGCCGCGGCGGGTGGGGAGGGGGTCGCTGCGGGCGGCGACGGGGCCGCACGGGCGGCTACAGGGCCGCTGCGGCGGCGACGGGGCCGCTCGGGCGGTGA